TGAAGACTCTCCCTGGGCCAGTGGAAGGTGTCCCTGCCCATGGCAGGGAGTGGAATGAGATGGTTTTTAAGGTCCCTCCCAACCCAAACCATTCCATGATTCTGTTGAGGAAAGGCCAGTTTTCCTTGATGGACTTCTCTGTTTAATAGTAAAAAGTTTTACATTCTTGTAATTAGTGGCCCAAACTTGTGTTTCAGAGTGAATCATTTAAGAGCTGACTATAACAAGTGTTTGCCTTCAGAATCTCATCTCAGCTGCCAGCTCTGGCTCCTCCATTCCCCAGCAGGATAATGACCCCAGAATTAGCAACCCTCCTGCTTGTGCAGTCCAGTCACTCACTCCCAGGCAATTACTCTCCACTGTGGATTCAGGAGGAGAAGAATACAAATGGAATGTGTGACCTGAAGGGCAGAGGGGAAGGAGTGTGTTTGTTTTATGTTAAAAGCAAAGAGCTCCCAGTCCTCCTGGCAGCTGTGCCTGGAGAGGACATGCATCCCAACAGCACCATCATGGCCTGGCATCTCTCCCCCAGTCCTGCTCTGTCTGTTCTCTGGAAATCCTGGGCTGCCTGGAGCAGGTCCTGTGCTGGAATTAAACATTATTCAGATATTGGGAAGGAATTGCTGACTGGGAGGCCCTGGCCCAGGTTTCCCAGAGAAACTGTGGCTGCCCCTGGATCCCTGGAAGTGTCCAAGGCCAGGCTGGAGCAACCTGGGCCAGTGGAAGGTGTCCCTGCCCATGGCAGGGGTGGCACTGGATGGGCTTTGAGGTCCCTTCCAACCCAAACCATTCCAGGATTCCATGAGTGCACACAACCCAAATTTTGCAAGGTTTCATTGTGTTAATGAACATTGAGATAATTGGCCTGGATTTTCAATGCCCAGTGTAAATCCCCAGGGATTCTGGCAGGGGTTTTTGTGCCAGCCTTCCACAGGCCCCGGGGGCAGCAGGGACAGCCATGATCCCTGGGATGGGGTGTCATGGCCTGGGCTCTTTCACAGGAAGGAATTTTGGGAAGTGATGATGGCCTGGGGCACATGGAGAGGTGCAGTCCCCACGGATCAGCTCAGTCTGCTCTCTGCTGACCAAACCAAGGTCTGAGCTCTGCTCAAGAGCTTGTTCTTCCCTTTAGACACCTGGAAAAGGGGCTGGGGCTGTGTCTGCCTCAGTCCTGGGTTTGTCCCAGCCACGGGAGCTGCCTGTGCTCGGCAGGGATGGCACAGGGATGGGAGTGCACAGCAGGGGGCTCTTTAATATTCCCAAACCCATTAGCATAATGCCTTAGGATTCCTGTCAGCTTCCTGTGGAAAGGCACAGAAACTGCAGCAGGGCTAGGACACTGCTTTTCCTCTGTTTCACAGAATCCCAGACTGGTTTGGGTTGGAAGGGACCTCAGAGCCCATCCAGTGCCACCCCTGCCATGGGCAGGGACACCTCCCACTAGCCCAGGTTGCTCCAACCTGGCCTGGGACACTTGCAGGGATCCAGGGGCAGCCACAGCTTCTCTGGGCAACCTGGGCCCACCTTCACAGGAAAAATTTGTTTTCTTGTGTTCAGACAGAATTTTATAGTGTTTAATTTGTGCCTCTGTCCTGTCAGTGCTGAGAGAATCCTGATTCCATCCCTGTCATTCCCTCCCCTCAGGAATTCATCCACATGGATAAGATCCTCCCCTATTAAAATGAAATTGTGGCTTGCAGAGTGCACTGTCCTGGGGCAGGGAGTTCTGTAATGAACTGCAGAGCCACAGTGACACAGAGTGCTCCCTCTGCTTCAAAAACCCACCACGTACCACATTTTTGGGGGCATTTTTCTCTTTCTGCCAGAAATGTCTTTGATGGTGAGACTGAGCCAGGAAAGGTTCACGTGCTGGGGCGACAGGGCAGGGCGTGGGAGGAGATGAACAGGGACTAAAATGGTGAACAATCCTGAAAAATCACTTTTTTAATTGTCAAACCCAAGGTAAGTCCTTTTTCCTGTTCATGGCAAGAGGAAGATGAGCCCTTAAATTCTGCAGGGTTGTGCTTTGGGCACATCAGGGGCAATTTTGCTGGTCGTGTGTGTCCTACACCGAAGGTCATCAGAACAATTCTGTGCTTGATCCTCCTGCTGCTGGAACAGGGAGGTGTCCAGGCTGGGCTGAACTCTGCTTACAACAGTGTCCAGCACAAGCAGGAAAATGTCAGTTCTCCAGGAATAAGAGAACAGCTGGGGAGGGCACAGCTCTAACTGGTGGTCTGAGTAAAACCAGGAATTTTGCTTTTGTCCTTGTGGAAAGGACTGACTCCTTGATAAGTGTCAGGGGAAGAAATGTGTTGTCAAATCACCTGCAGGGGGTAAAAGGAACGGAACACGGATCCTCTGAAGCTGTGGTGTGGATCTGTCACTCTCTGGGATTGTTGGGGAAGTTTGGGAAGTGAAATATGGACATTGCCTGCCCTGGACACAGAGGGAGGGGTGGGAAGGGGATGTGATGCTCTGAACAGACCAGAGGGATTCCAGGATACAGTGGGACAAGGTACCACCCTCTGTCAGTGGGAAGCCATTCCCTGTGTCCTGTCCCTCCATGCCTTGTCCCCAGTCCCTCTCCAGCTCTCCTGGAGCCCCTTTAGGCCCTGCCAGGGGCTCTCAGCTCTCCCTGGAGCCTTCTCTTCTCCAGGGGAACCCCCCCAGCTCTCCCAGCCTGGCTCCAGAGCAGAGGGGCTCCAGCCTTTGGAGCATCTCCGTGGCCTCTGGACTCGCTCCAGCAGCTCCAATTTTCCTCCCTGCTGGGTTTAAGGCACCATTGGAATTGTGAGGGGAGCAAATGAAGGGAGAACAGATGTTGTGTTATCTTAGTTGGGAGTTACTGAACCCACTGAACCAGTGTCTGTGCATTTGTGTGCCGGGAGGGCAGCCCAGGGTTTAATGAGGGAATGAGTTTATGGCTGAGGACTCAGGAGTCACCTGAGCTTGTGGGCACTGTGTCTGCAGGTTTATTCCATAACTCCAGGGGAGCTCCAGGTTTCTGACCCTGTAGGTCTGTTCTGTTACTCACTAGGGAAGGACAAGGATCTGATCCTGAGCAGTGCCACTGGAATAGCTAAATCCAGTCTCCCTGTGGTGCTGAGGAGCCTGTCTGACTCCACAAGGAATTCTGTTTAAAACCAGGGACTCTGTTTCCTGGAGCTGCTTCATCTCAGGTCTGTGTCACTTGTCAGCAGTGACCCTGAGCACAGGTCCATTGCCCTGCACCCCGGGAGGCTTTTGGGGGTAAAACACAGCCTCCTGCCCCCTCTCCCCTCCCACTTTAGCCCCAGTGCCATCTCAATCCCAGGCATTTGGGGAGCCCCCCCGGGAGCTGCCCTCTCCCAGGACCATCAGCCCCACTCCAAGTGCTCCTTCCTCTGCTTCACACAGGAAAAGGATTCTTTCTGTAGGAGTGAGGCTCTTTTCCCTGCACAGCACTTTGACCCAAGGGATGCTCCTGCAATCCATCCTCCCCTGCCCTGCACTGCTTTGGGCCCTGCCTGTGCAGGAGCAGCTCCCAGATGGCTCCAGGTTTGTTCAGGACTGTTCATTTCCCACAGAGCAAACACATCTTTGGGCTGCAGCTGCACATGGTGTAGAATAAAGGCAGTGTTGCCTGGAATCATAAATCTCTGCGAGACAGAGCAGAGGCACAAAAGGTGTTTGAGTGCTTTGCTCTGTGTGTCAGTGATGGAGAGGCCTTGGCTTCCTTTGCCACCTCTCTCAGGGCAGAAGACTCTTCCCTGTTTTCCTCCCAGACAGAGTGTAAGACATTGCCTGCTGCAAACCACCAGTGGCTTTGAGCTGAAGGAGGGCAGGGATAGATGGGATATTGGGAAGAAATCCTTCCCCATGAGGGTGGGGAGGCCCTGGCACAGGTTGCCCAGAGAAGCTGTGGGTGCCCCTGGATCCCTGGAAGTG